AGATGGATATTATTCGGTTTTCCCAGCTAAGTCTTGATTCAAAATCTTCTCCAGATGAGTATGTTTCCTTCATCTAGCCAGGTTATGGTCAGACAGTTGAGTAGTTTGAGGACCACCTCTCCTTGATGTTATTGCCCATGCGGAGACTTGTCTTTAATGATTCCTAGCGGAGGTTATGCATATTTACTTTGGATTATTCCACAAGTAGAGAACAATGTTGCTTACTTCTAAGAAGTGTTGACATAGCAGTCACCTGTCGGGTTTTCTCTCACCTTGTGATTGGGTGTTGAGATTTAAAATCCCCCACAGTTTGACTTTTTGCTATGATGTTAACTTCTTATTCCCCAGGCAGAGTTGGAAAATTTGTGTTGCTTTGTTTTCTCCAACAGTTTTTTTCTCAAAGCGGAGTTCATATTGTTGTTCCCTTTTGTTGAATTATTGATGATTGAAGATTTTCTGTTGCTGATCCCCAGCACGATCTCCAATGATATCTCTAACTTGCAGAAATTAGCCGAGTATTTCAGTGGTGTTGTGGTGTTTTGTTCACCCTCTGTTTGCCTTTTTTTGTCTGATTTATCAGCATATTCATACTCATTGCATGCGCATTCATTTTTGGTTGAGCATAGCATGTCTTTGTTGCATTGTGCATCCTGCATTTTTTGTTGGTATTTCCCTTTTCCCGATGTTGTTATCCCTGCGGAGTGCGTGTGTCCTCTCTCCATTAGAGTGTCGACCCTTAAGCAGAAAATACCTATCCTTTCTAATTCCCCACTGAGTTTATGCCTCATGGAAGATGTTTGTTTAGCTTTCCGCCCCAGCTTTTATCTGGATGGAATTGTTCCCCAATTGAGTTATTTCCTCATTGGGTCGAGTCTTGTTTGACTGTTTCTCTCCAGTTTGTTCCTGGATTGAACTTTGGTCTCTTGCAGCGGTTATTTTGGATTTCCCTGGGCTGTGAAACCTGGATGATGAGAAGGTATTTTTTAGGATTTACTTTCCTCGGAAGGAATCTGTTATTGATTCCCATCAGAAGATGAAGATTTGATTTTCCCCAGTGGTGTTTTGATAACATTCTCTTGGTGATTGCTTGTGCGACTTCATGTGACAGTCTCTTTATTTGAGCAACTTGTATGTCTCCAGCAAGATAAACCTCACCCCAACAAATGGTTGTCTCTTTATTTGAGAAGTTTGTTGTGTAATTTGAGCTGCCCATTGACTGGTAGCAGGTATTTCTTGTGAGTTCATTACCTAAATTTTTCTGCCTAGTACTGGGTATCCGGTAATGTTTCTTCACCTTTCGAGTATGTTACCTCTATTGACTGGTAATATTTCTCACCCCTTTTGGTTGGTTATGCTTTACCCATTTGACCGGTAAAAGATAATCCTTCCTCCCGAGCTTGTTGCCTTTATTTTCTGCTTAGTGATAGGTAGTAGGTAGCATTTGTCTCCTCCTTTTGGTCAGTTATCGACATATTTTTCTACCCAGTAATCGGTAATCGGTAATCTTTCCTTGTGAGTTCATTACCCAAAATTTTCTACCTAGTACTGGGTATCCGGTAATGTTTCTTCACCCTTTTGAGTATTTTGCTCATCCTTTTTGGTCAGTTATCGACATATTTTTCTACCCAGTAATCTGTAGTCGGTAATCTTTCCTTGTGAGTTCGTTACCCAAATTTTTATACCTAGTACTGGGTATCCGGTAATGTTTCTTCACCTTTTGAGTATATTGCCTTTATTGTGCTATCTATTGATTGGTAGTTGGTAATATTCTCACCCCCTTTGGTTGATTACGCTTATTTTCTACTCAGTAACCAGTAGAAGCATTTTACCTGTTCTCTTTGGATCGACTATATTCGCCCAGTAACTGGCAGTTGGTATCTCTTTCCCTGTTGAGTCGTTCCCTTTCCTTTATCGGAATAGGATCTTGCTCTTTTATTTTCCCTTGTGGAGTCTCTTTTCTTCTTTTTCTCCCGAGTTTTTTTTGTTTGTCTCCTGTGGCATTTTCTCCCCGCAGAGGTCTTGTGTTTGCATACCATTAGCATAACCATATCATTTTGTGGTCTCTTAGGGCCAAAAATTGGGTTTATTGTTATATTTAAGTCTCTTCTATCTGGTCGAGACAAAGATGTCAATCTTCATATCTCCCTATAGAAGAATCTTAAATAGGGGCAGTTGTAATACCCAAATTTTTACCCTTAAGATCCTACATTGCATTTTCATTTTTGCATACACAAACAAGATCATACTTTTTGGTTCTTTCACCCTTGTGTTTCTTATTTACTTTATGTTTGTTTCTGTTTACTAACCTCTAACTAAAATACCAAAAATATTTTTCAATTTTTTTGTTTCTTCTTCTTCTCTGTGTGTTTAGGGTTTTGCAAGGAAATTGATGGCAAAGACATTCATTCAAGTCTAAATCAGATGAAAGTTTGACCTCATCTTGGTCGAACTATCAAGAGTTTGCTTCAACTATAAGTTACCCGTGGTGGTGGGCTATTTTCTCAGGAAATGTGATTGTTCAAGGTCAAGTTGTCCTATATTAGAATTCATCAGTTTATCGAGCAGTGTTTTATGAGAAGTATGTCTGGAATCAATGATCATGTAAATACTTCAAGCCCCTTTGGATCAGTTGCATCACACAACAAAGTAAATCATGAGCATGGTTTGACCAATGGAACTTTTGAACCCAAAACTTTTGTCCCTCGCGGGGACTTTGCTCAACAGTTAAATTATTCAAACACAAAGTTCAATGATCAAAAACAATTCTCAAATGTTTTTACTGAAAATCAGAACTCCCATAATTATTCCCAGCAATCAATCCAAGGTGGACAGTATGCCCCTCATGCTAGAAGATCATCTGCTGGACGTCCTTCTCATGCTCTGGTAACATTTGGATTTGGCGGAAAACTCATCATAATGAAAGATCCAAGTGTTTTGAGTGCATCATATGGAAGCCAGGATCCTGCACAAGGTTCTATATCTGTGTTGAACTTGATGGAAGCTGTCACGGGAAGCATCAGTTCTATGACTATTGGAAATGCTACTGGTGATTATTTTCGTGCTTTAAGCCAGCAATCTTTCCCAGGTCCATTGGTCGGTGGTAGTGTTGGAAGTAAGGAGCTGTACAAATGGTTAGATGAGAGGATTGCACGCTGTGAATCACCTGATATGGATTATAAGAAAGGCGAAAGGTTGAGACTCCTCCTCTCCTTGCTTAAAAAAGCTTGTCAGCATTATGGAAAACTGCGTTCTCCTTTTGGTACAGACACCATACTAAAAGAAAATGATGCTCCTGAATTAGCAGTTGTAAAACTTTTTGCATCTGCCAAAGTGAGAGGCACGGAGTTCACTCAGTATGGGATGCCAAGTCATTGCTTGCAAAATTTGCCATCCGAAGAACAAATGAGGGTAATTACTGCTGAGGTACAAAATCTTCTTGTCTCTGGAAAAAAGATGGAGGCCTTACAACATGCACAAGAAGGACAATTGTGGGGACCTGCACTTGTTTTGGCTTCACAACTTGGTGAGCAGTTCTATGTTGATACAGTGAAGCAAATGGCTCTACGCCAGTTGGTTGCGGGGTCTCCTCTACGCACGTTATGCCTTCTAATTGCTGGACACCCAGCTGAAGTGTTCTCTACCGAAACCTCAAGTAGTGGGTATCCTGGTGGTTTTAATATGCCTCAGCAATCTGAACAGGTTGGATCTAATGGTATGCTTTACGATTGGGAAGAGAATCTGGCTGTAATAACTTCAAACAGAACCAAAGGTGATGAGCTTGTAATTATTCACCTCGGTGATTGCTTATGGAAGGAAAAACGGGAGATTACTGCTGCACACATCTGCTATTTAGTTGCTGAAGCAAACTTCGAGTCATACTCAGACTGCACAAGACATAGCAGCTCCTGTAGAAGAGGAAGAAGCAGGTGAAGGAATGGATGAGATGGAATTCACTGAGGCTGAGAGCAACATGAATGATTTGGTTGCAGAGTATCAACAGTACCAAGACGCCACCGTAGATGGCAATGAGTATGAAACGGAGCAGTAGTGTTGAAGCTGGCAATCTTGGAAATGTCATTGAAGCTAGCAAGGGTCTGGCTGCAGGTGATGGGAGCAATTGGAATAATGCCATGTCTCAAACTGCTAGTTTGCCGGACGGAGTCAATAGTGACAAAAGCATAGATATTGGAATGATCAAGGAACTTCTTATATCATTCCGGAGAGCAACTGGTCAAAAGCCCCAGCGCATCATATTTTACAGAGATGGAGTTAGTGAAGGGCGATTTTACCAAGTCCTGCTGTTTGAGCTTGATGCAATCCGGAAGGCCTGTGCTTCACTTGAACCCAACTATCAGCCTCCTGTGACTTTTGTGGTGGTTCAAAAACGTCATCATACTAGGCTTTTTGCCAGTAACCACCATGACAAGAGTTCTGTTGATCGCAGTGGCAATATATTATCTGGAACTGTTGTGGATTCTAAGATCTGCCATCCGACGAAGTTTGACTTTTATCTATGCAGTCATGCCGGAATACAGGGTACAAGCCGGCCAGCTCATTATCATGTTTTGTGGGATGAAAATAATTTTACTGCGGATGCTTTGCAAAGTCTAACCAACAACTTGTGCTACACATATGCCAGATGCACCCGTTCTGTTTCAATTGTGCCCCCTGCTTATTATGCTCATTTGGCAGCTGTTGCCGGGCGTAGTTCACGTGCACCGGGTGCAAATGCTGCTGTTAGACCCTTGCCTGCGCTGAAGGAGAATGTCAAGAGAGTCATGATTTATTGTTGATATCATATTTGAAGTTTGTTGAAGGACTGCTGATAATTGAAGTTTGACGAACGACTGGTGGACAGGTTTACTATTATTACCCATTCTCAGCTCTTTCAAATCCTGCAAAGCTTTACAACGATCTTAGATGGAATGTCACTAGGCCACAAGGTTTTGAGGCTGTAATGCGCGTGAGATGCAGTCAGGGCATCCAAGTACAGGATTATTATGGCAACTTTTGTAAATGGATCCCAACAGATGTTGACTTACATAATGGCTGGATTTGCTCAGGATCAAGAAATTGATCTGTATGAGGAAATAAAATTTGAACCTAAAATCATGTGTGAACTTGTTGACAAGAAGTGTACTTTTCGTGATAATCAGCTAGAGGATGGTGATATTATTTGCTTCCAGAAGAACCTTCAAGCTGGCGAGGAACAACAATATTGCTATCCGGATGTTTATTCATTCTTTGATTATGTGCAAAACCGTCAAGTTGTTCACTTTAGGTTTTTGGAGAAACCCAAGGAGGATGAGTTCAGTCTTGAGCTGTCAAAGCTTCACACTTATGATGATGTTGTAAAAAGGGTCTCTCAACACCTTGGTTTGAATGATCCTTCTAAAATCAAACTCACATCTCATAATTGCTACTCCCAGCAACCTAAACCACAACCTATCAAGTACCGAGGAGTGAATCATTTGTCTGACATGCTGGTTCAATACAATCAGGCTACTGATGTTCTATACTATGAAGTATTGGATATTCCTCTGCCTGAATTGCAATGCCTAAAAACGCTCAAGATTGCTTTCCATCATGATGCCAAGGATGAAGTGATGATAATTAGATTACCGAAGCATAGTACTGTGGCAGATGTAATTAATGATCTAAAATCAAAGGTAGATTTATCACATCCTGATGCGGAGCTTAGATTGCTTGAAGTATTCAATCACAAGATCTATAAGATTTTCCATGTCAATGAAACTATTGAGAATATTAATGATCATTATTGGACATTACGAGCAGAAGAGATTCCGGAAGACGAGAAAAACTTTGGCCCTCATGATCGGATGATACATGTTTATCATTTTTTGAAAGACACTGCTCAAAATCAGATGCATGTTCAGAACTTTGGAGATCCGTTCTTCTTGGTTATCCGCGAGGGTGAGACATTGGCTGAAGTCAAATTGCGGGTACAAAAGAAGTTACAAGTTCCAAATGAGGAGTTTTTAAAGTGGAAGTTTGCGTTTGTTTCACTTGGTCGTCCTGAGTACCTTCAAGATTCAGACATTATTTCCAGTCGGTTTCAGAGAAGGGACATATACGGCGCATGGGAGCAATATCTTGGTCTGGAGCGCACAGACAATTCACCAAGAAGATCATATACAGCCAATCAGAATCGTCATGCATTTGATAAACCAATAAAAATCTACAACTAGAGGAAAGCTTGTATCATCTTGACCAGTCAATTTGGTAGTACTATGTCCGGCGGCAGTTGAAGCTTTCTAGTGGTAGGAAAAAACACAGTGAAGCTGTATATCTCCTTCTGAGTAGTCTGCCCCAGCTTCACAGCAAGTTGATAAAACTTGTTGAGTTATTGAACAAGACTGTCAAAGATTATAACCAAGTGGTGAATACCCTTCAGGCCCTTTATGAGATTGCTATCAGAGAGCTCATTTTTGCTCAAGAATCAGGCAACAGCATGACCACCAATTGTTTGGACTTACTGCTCATGGTATAAATTTAGAGTCAATGTAGAAAACTTGCAGCAAATGGATTACGGGCAAAGAATTGTATCAATAATTTTAATGGAAGACAAGAGCTACCAATTCTTCAGAGTTTATCTGCAGACGTAGGAATTCCGCATCTTGGTTTTAATGATTGCACATCAATTACGCCGTGAAAGCTTCAATATTATCAATAGGCGATGGCGGCATCAAGAAGCGGCAGAAAATAGAATTCTGTGGTAGCAGAGCTTTGTTTTTATCCAGACTATTTTCACGTATCTGAGCCATAATCCCAAGCCATGTGAATATAATTCAAGCTGTGAGATTACCTCCAAGCTGACCCCACAAGCCTTTAAAGCTTTCACCAAGTGAAGCCATGAGCAAAAATCCACGTCACATATTTAAATTTGAGCTGAAATCAGAAAAAGAGAATAACACGTGAGCTACAAAGGAAAAATCAAAAACGACATGAAAAAGTTTCTCCTCAAGTCACGCATAACCTGTAGCAACCAAAACGCAGAAAAATATCACAAACGGCAAATCATTTTTCACTCACTCTCATCTATAAATACAATTCATCTCTCACTCATTTTCTCAAGCTTGAAAAGCCAGAAAATCCCTGCTGAAAACTTGCCAATACTCATCTTCAACCTTCAACCGAACTACTTCGATCAATTCCAAATTCACCATTCTTCATCACTCTTCTTCCATTTCCTTCAAATTCTTTCCCATTTCAAAGCAAATTGGAGCTAGAGCAGTAGAAAAGAGAAGAAGAAAGTTTTAATTGACATTTACCTCGACTTTGAAGGTAGTTTGGAGTGAATTTCTCTTTTCCGCTTCGTTTCCGTTGTCGATCATTCTTGAAATTGTTGGTTGCATCTTGTGAAACTTTTCATTTCGATCGATTTCGTATACCTTTCAAGCTCCGCCGCTGCCGGATTGAGCTCCAACATCACGGAGAAAGTGATGGCATTGAGAGCTTCAACGTGAAGCTTCACGAGGAAGATGTTCATTCTGTTTGTTTTTCTTTCTTTTTTTTCCTTTTCAATTTTGTTTTTTATTTCAATTTTTCTTTCTTTTTTATTATTTCTCTTAAGAACCGGGCCGTGTGGGCCTTTCTTTTTTTTTCTTTTTGTTACTAGTTTATATTTTAAATAGTACTCTTGAAGAAAAATCTTGAAAAATTATTTGAAAAATATTTTAATTTGGATTAATTGTTGGTTTGTTTTGGATCCTAAATTTTGATAAAATTTCATCAATATCAATGGACTTTGGGTGTCGATTTTATCCACCAAGAGAGGTGATTGATATTGATGATGATTTAATCGATTTAAGATTCAAATTGAAATTTCTTTTCATTTTAATTCTCTTTCTTCTTCTTTTTATTTTTGATCGATGAAATCTATGGATCATAGATTGTTGATTATCAAGGTTGTTTAATCTTCATTATTTCAAATCTATGGACGAATAATCATTGAGATAATTCTCCGTACTTTGGAATAGTGATAGATTACCTTTGATTAATTGATGAAAAATCTTGATTATGATGAGATCACTACCTCTTTTCTTTTTGTGTGGCATGTTTTAGGAGAGTGATTTACATATCACTTCTCTAACATGTGTTAACACTAACATTTTATTGACCGGCCTCAGATAGTCGTGGTTTCTACATAAACCCGATTACGATTGCTTAACATAGCGCTAAAGTGTCCCTTAATCGGAAAATGATCATTCGTGGCTCAAACTTACGTTTAAAAGTCCAAGTATGTTTAGTTGCTTGTCTTAAGTCCAATACCTATGAAAATCATTGTTAGGAGGCTTTGATTCTATCAATCCTCTAATGAGTTTTCATTAACCTTGGTCTAAAGTGCAAGAATTAATCATCATTGATCATATGTTCTAACCACTAATTACTAATTCACTAACATTATCTTTGTTTAATTTTGTTTATATTCTCTTCTTACTCCTTATTTCTTACTTTTATGCTTCCATATTATCATTTCATATCATATCTTTGTTTATGTTTATGTCATTTCTCTTTTGTCCACTTGGACCATATCTTGTTCAAAACACTAATAAAGGATAAAAAATCTCTAAAAAACTTGGTGTTGTTAACTTTGTGGTTATGCTCTTGGACTACTCTTAGACCTTGGACTTCATGGACCTTTGGACTTAGAATTAGGACTCTTATTCCTACGCTTGGAGTATTGTGGATCTTAGCCTTTATTTGGCTCCTCATTAGCTTATGCTTTAAATCGGATGGAATTCTTTTTTGCTTGCTATGGAGTGTGCTACAAGTCGGTTAGATCTTTCTTACCTCTAGCTCTTATTTTGGTTTCTAGGATAGTCACTTCATCTCCTCCCCTTCTTAAATTTTCAAAACTTTCTCCCTCTTTCAAAACCTTCTTGGTTTCAAACTTCAAAACCGCTTTCGCAATAAAACCTTGACTTTCGTCAAGTGATTTTCAAACTTTGTTCTTCTTAATAAAAGTCAATCAATGTTAATCATGCTTTGACCAATTTCAAAAGACATAAAAAATACAAAAACTCATCAACTCTTTTTGTGCCTTTATGCATTTTTTCACTTTAAAACTTTTCATAAAGTTTAGACATGATTCATTTCTATAGTTGAGATGTAAATCTCCTATTCCCCATATTATTAAGACTTTGACATTTTCCACATTGATGTTGAGTGATAGTCTTGTTGATAATCCAAGGAAATCCTCCATCTTTATGTGACGCAGATGTTGTCTTAATACTCGTGGGTGGATAGTCGCAGTTTTCTCCTTGAAATGACGACTTGTCTTTACATCTAAAATCAATCAAAACCAACAAATTTTTGTCATTTGTACCACGAACTACGGGGTTTTGATCCCATATTGCACTTTGTGGGTACGTAGGCATGAGGCGATAAGTCTCCCCAAACACAAAAATCTAAAAAATAATTCTCTTCTCATCTCCCCAATCTCTTTTCAAACAAACCATTTTCAAACCAAAAAGCGTAAATATTTCAAAGGGCTCCTATAGAGTACTATAGACGTTTTGGGTGCTAACACCTTCCCACTGCGTAACCAACCCCCTTACCCCGACCTCTGTCTCGTGTTCTTATTTTAGAACTCTTTGGTTTTGTTCGCTCTTTTTCCTTTCCTTTATTTGGATAAAATAAAAGTGCGGTGGCGACTCTTGTTTTTTGAGTTAAGTTAATTAATAACTTACACTCATGATTTTTACCGCTACAGAAAAGTGGCGACTCTGCTGGGGACTCCAATGGTTCCTAGTGGGTTTCGCCTACTTTGATTTATTTATCGCTTTCTGTTTGACTTGTTTGTTATTGATTGTTCTGTTTTGGTGCCTGGTAATCTTTGTGGTGAGATAAGTCCTAACCCGGACTTGAGTGCACTTATGATAGGAGGGTGGTATAGTCTTGTTGGCTTACGTGGAGTAGTCCTTACTAAGCTGACTTGAGATCCCCCGCTCAGTGGAGGCCCCTTTGGAATTACTGATGTCTTACGAGTAGTCGTAATTGATATTACTTTTTCCGACTGGGAGCCTGAGAAGCTGAGGACCTTAGAACCCTTTAACCCATCTTGGCCTTATTAGGACGTGGTGCGGTGGCTGTTCAGGTGTAGACTTGAATTAGTCGTTACGCGATACCACACTCAGATGAGTTTCTCTTGAGAATATTGTTGGCCGACGAGTAGTCGTTTAAGCCGATAATATCCAAAAGATGGAATTATGACTCTGGGAACTTTTTAGAACCTTGTTCTACAGGTGATGATATAACCATAGTACATACCATTGTGGGTTGGTTGGTTCTTACCTTTGGCTCCATGCTCGCGCCGAACCATTGAACCTGTGTGCTTTGTATGTCTTGTTTGTGGGTGTTGCATCTTGCATCTATTCATTCATGAGCATTTTTCTCAGTTTTCAAGGAACTCAGAGATTTCTTTTTGCAAATATCGCAAAAAAATTTTTTTTAGAATCATGGATATTGAAAGAAGTAACACTAAGAAGTACACTTTCACGAGTTTTGACTTACAAGAGTTGAGAAAGCTTGGATCTTTGGTATCTAGTCCTGTGGATTTCAAATGTTGTTTAGGAAACTGTTGATTACTCTGAGGACTGATGTTGAAAAAGGGATTCTTAATACGTTGGTCCAGTTCTATGATCTGTTGCATCGTTGATTTGCTTTCCCAGATTATCATCTATTTCCAACCTTAGAGGAGTATGCCTATCTTATGGGTGTATAAGTCTTCATTGAGTTTCTTGAGCGACGTGTCATGAAGAGATCAAGGATCCAGAGGATTTATTTTCCTCTAGCATATCATCATTTACTCATCTTCCTACCCCCGGTTCTTGGAAGGGTATTGTGAATCGACTCGTGAAAGAGAAAGACACCATGAAGATCAGCTATATAAGATAAATCGAGAGGCTTCACAAGAAGTATCAGCTCAGAGTTGGGTCGTTTTCAGACAAAATTCATTAGAACTAGATTTCTTTCTCTCTTGTGTTGTAAGATTGATGAAACTGTACTTCAAAGCTGTAATTCTTTCAATATTAATGAAATGAGATTTTTGGCATATCCAGTGTGTTATCTTAATGTAATGTTTGCAAACTGATTTATAGTTCCTTGAAAACTTGCATTTGCATTTGCATCAAGCATCATTCTGCATTGTATCTTGCCTTTCCCGGGTGTCTTATTTACTTCCTGT